TCTCTCCCTTTCAAATAAATAACACATTTAAATACATAAATATATATCACAAGTATACAGCTACCTCAAGCTCCCCTCTCTTATCTCTTATTTCCCTATTTTTCTTCAAACTCCAGGTACCTTAATTCCTCTAGTATTTCCAAATACCCAGTCAGAGCTGTCAACCCTGTCCCAGGTCTCCCACCCCTCGATGGCTCAGGTTCCAGAACTATGAGGGTGTCAGAGAAGCAGGGAGGAGGAGAGGTACCCAAAACTTCCTTTGGGGAAATCTCCTCGTGAGTTGGAAGAGTACATTCAAGAAATGCCAGGCGAGATGAAACGCTGCACCGGGTTCCTGGGGAAAGTGCTAGGCTGGAATTCGGAAACTGCTCTGTGGGGGGATGTTCTCTCATTTTTATTCAGCCTGGGGATATCAAAGTCAAATAAAGTTTAATTAAACTAATAACTCTACCTGCTCGAGGAAATCTCAAACAAGTTTTTGAAAAAGTAAAGAATAATTATATCTGTTTGATAGAGAGGAAGCCTTCTAGCCTTCTAAATCACGTGATTGTATTCCATTTCTTCTCTCTCTGTCTCAAGTACTGAGCTACATTTTGTCTCCACCAAAACTTGCACAGAGGCGTGGTCCCCAGCGTGACACATCGGGAGGTGGAGCCTCTTGGGTCTGGAGGGTGAGGCCCTCATGGATGAATGAATGAATCCCTTTCTCATACGTGCATTCTTGCGCGCGCGGGAATGGGAGAATTGCTGCAAGAAGCACGTTGTCATAAAGCAGCTCTACTCCTGGGGTTCTCCCTCTTGAACTTTGTGCCGTGAGTTCAAGCCGCATGAGGACCTCAACAGATGTGGTTGCCCAGCATTAGAACCATGAGCCAAAACAAACCTGTTTGCCTTACGTCTCGCCCAATCTCAGGTGTTCCATTATAGCTACAGAAAATGGACTAAGACATACAGACTGAAGTTGAGTCGCAAAGATTCTAATGCTGGGCAAGAATTGTACTGAACCCCGAAAAGCGGGACTTCAATTGCAACTGAGCTGAAAGGTGCTGGAAAAGTTGGGTGCCTCATTTAAATACAGATGGATGAGGAATGTGGCAGTGTTATACTTGGGGTCCTTTGAAGACCCTAAGAAAATGACCCCCTACTCAACAGTCTCTCTCACCGGCTAGCTAAGGTGTCCATAATTCATTCATTACCCTTTGTCTTCCGAATGACCTTAGAAAATTCACTCTCCAGGAAGAAATAAAATAACCTGTCATCCAGTTCCTTTAAGATGCCGGAGTCTTATTTATTGCTAGGAAGCCAGGAAAGTCCCCCGGAGATGCTGTTGAACTGACCGTAAAACCCTCTTGGCTTTGTAGTTTTGCCAGGCGTGGACCCTGCAGGAGTAAAACGCTGTCTGAGTCGCAGGCACCTTCTTGAGTTCTGGAGCGTCTGCAGGAATACAGAGGGAAAAATATATAAGATCTTCTCTTCCAAGTCAATGGGCTAGCCTTTATTGTGCTTAAAAAAAAGAAAAAAGTCTCTGCATACAACCCATTAAGTTCAGAGTTTGGTGTGAAAGGTAGATTCTCAAAAATCATTTTAAGCAAATGGCTCCCTGGGCTAAATCTTTTCCAGCTGGATGGTGATGGTCCAGAGGCCTGGGGCAAAGTGTTTCTACTTTTCCAGGTCTGTGTTTTATCCTTGGCACTGGCTCAGTACTGTTGAGATGGTTTGCTCCTGCTATCCCAGAACTCTTCCTGGGAAGTGAGCAACGCACAGTCATTAGATTATGAAAGCAACTCAGAGCTGCTTCTTCGTCGAGGACGAGAGTGAAGTGCAGGCTTGATAATGATTTAAAGACAAAGTAGTGTGGGCTCTGGAACCAGATGTGGTAACTGCAGGAGCTTGCACAAGCTAATTAGTTATTCTGGGCTGTAATTTCTTCTGCGAAGACACTTGTTAGGGAAATAGTATTCATAAGGCAACTCCAAAAAAAAAAAAAAACTTCCCAGTGTTGCTGTATTTGCTATCTTTTAGATTGAGACATAGTTCATATAACAAAACTCACCATTTTAAGTGTACGCTGCAGTGAGTTTTCAATATGCACTATGTTGCACCACCATCATTGCTACCTAATTCCAGAAATTCCCATCCCCTTGCCTGAAACCTATATTAGTGGTTAGTCCAAGTCCCCTTTCCCCCAGAACCTGGCCACCACTAATCTTTGTGTCTCTATGGATTTGTCTATTCTAGACATGTCATGTAAATGGAATCATATAAAAGAATTACATAACACACGATACTTTGTGGTCTGGCTTTTGTCACTTAGCCTAACATTTCCAAGTTTCATCCATGTTGGAGCATATAACTCATTTCTTTTTATCTGAATAATAATTCTTTTTTTTAAAGATTTATTTTTATTTATTTGAAAGAGTTACAGAGAGAGGTAGAGACAGAGAGGTCTTTCATCCGCTGGTTCACTCCCCAGGTGGCCGCAACAGCCGGAGCTGCACCGATCTGAAGCCAGGAGCTTCTTCCGAGTCTCCCACGTGGGTGCAGGGGCCCAAGGATTTGGGCCATCTTCCACTGCTATCCCAGGCCATAGCAGAGAGCTGGATCAGAAGAGGAGCAGCCAGGACTAGAACCCATGCCTATATGGGATGCCGGCACTTCAGGCCAGGGCTTTAACCCGCTGTACCACAGCACCAGCCCCTTCTGAATAATATTTCACTGTATGGATATACCCTAGTTTGTATATCTACTCATCAGCGGATGGAAATTTGGTATAATCACCATTGTTTGACACAATCAGGCCGAAGGTAGAATGACGACTTGGGTATGCAAATCTCCACCAGTAAAATCTCTTTTCCTGCCTTGCACTGGTTTTCAGAACTCCTGAGAATATGCGTAGTTTTTAATGGTAGTAGTTTGCTCAAAGAAACATTTACAACCTATCTACCTACTTTGAGGACTTTTTCCTTTCCAAGAGTTTTTTTCAGAATGGGGGGAAAACCCACAATTCAAAGAAATGAAACATTGTAGGAAAAAGTTCACTGAGAAGCAGGATTTGTGTTCATTTCTTTAGACTTCAGTGGATGGGCTTCTGCCTCTTCATCCCATGCTATTTCACAACACTGCTGGAGGTCTACACCTGCCTTTTTTTTTTTTTTTTTTCAGCACCTTTTACCTACTTGTTTCTGTGTATAAGCTCACCAGGCTCCAGAGCAAAGAAATATTTTATTAGATTTGGTTGATACTTGAATACCATTCTTTCTTGTTCAGCTTCCTCTGTGGAAAAATTCAGAATAGCTTTCTCCTTTAGTTAGGCAGTCACTGTCGTTGCATTAAAATGACCATGAGGTATGGGGAACGTAGGCTTTTCCCACCTAGTACCTTTCCCACCTAGCTCGTCACCCCTCTCCCACTTGGCGGCCGCCCAAGTGAAAGCTCATGGTGAGAGGAGGGGCAATCTTTGCTGACCTGGCTGCTTTCCCACATCCTCCCCGCCCCAGCTCTGGGCTCTGATTTCCCCCGGGGACTAGATCACAAAGGGGCATCTTAATGTCTGTTTACCTGCAGTCTTCATGCCTTTATGGGCAGCCTTGTGCCTGGAGGGAGAGCAGCTGGCGTGGTAGACCTGGAAAGGTGGCTCTCTGTTTTCCCCGTATAGAAGAAGGAGGCATCCCAGCCCCAGGCCTTGCCTTGGTGGGCGTAGGAAGACCTGGAGGCAGGTCTGCTTTGTGAAGGATTAGGTTGTTGACACTCTGTGCTTGGGAACCAGTGATGTGTAGGATGTGGCAAGATTCCAGGGGGGAGGCATTTCCCGGGGTTCATCAGGGATTTGCGCTTTTTTATCTTGGGTGGCACGAATGGAGGGTCCAGCCCAGCCTGGTTTCCTGACATTAAACAAGTGTTTTCTTTGCCAGAGCTTTAATGATCTGGTTCTGAATGTTGCTGTTCACTGCATTTAATGTTCCATTTCCTTGTTGTTCTTTAAGATCTGGAACCATTATTGTCTGCACACTTCATATGCCTTATTATCTCATTTATATTATTTCCTGCTTCTCACTATTTTCTAAACCTCAAATACAAGGAGTCTTGTTCATGGCTAATGTGCATTATGAAAAAAACTGCATGGATTTCAATTTTTTTTTTGGTAACAAAATAAACTTATCTTTTAATTCCATTTTCTATTAACTCTTTTTTAAGTCCCCCCATATATGAAGAAGGGACTGAGCTTTCTCCATGCTAAGTGTCGCCAACTCCTCTGATGGTTCCAGTTGCCACAGTTTCCAGAGCCGCCTTTGTCCTGGTCCCCTGTGTCTGTGTTTTCTGTTTTGTCAGCGCTCCTCCTGATGCAGTGCCCTGACTGGAAATAACATTCTGTGTGCTCTGAACAGCTCGAAGTAGGACCATTACCAAGAAATGGACCCAGTACGCACTGAGTGACATGTGGTTCCCAGTGCATAATTAGCAATCGCACCTTACCACCAGCCAGCACCCACCACCCCTACTCACTATCTTCTTCACTGTGGGGCAGAAGTTCCTACTAGTGTGTGGCTGATTTTTTTTTTTTTAATCTTGAGAGTTGGACTTTCCATTTTTCCCTACCCATTTAATGCCTCCTTGACCAGGGGGACTTGTGGTATTATCTCATCAGAACCAGATGGGTTGAAGTCTAACATAATCAGATGCAAGAAATTGTTGATGTAGCAGAGAATTTTGTTTTCTAATGGTATGTTAGATTTGGCTCTGTTGATAGAAAACTTGTTCTCTGATTCCTGATCCTAGGCACTTAAAATCAGTGCTTTGTAGTTCATGGAGTTTCGTGGTAGTTTTTGGCATCAACAACTACATAGTTTAAAAGAATGACTTGAGTGTTGAGCTTCTCTAAGAGTTGAGTACCTTAAGATTTTGGGTCATGGTGTCCCGCACGGGCCAGCAAACCCATCTGTCGGCGGTGTTGTTCAGAAGGGCGTGCGGGGCTCTAACCGGCCTCTGTCTGTCTGTTGCAGTTACCTGGCTGAGCAGTGCTGGAATGGCGGCTTCATCTACCTGATCATGCTGCGGCGCTTCAAGCACAAAGCCCACCCCACGTACAATGGCAACAGTGGCAACAGCTCTGAAGCAGGAGAGACGCCTACCTTGGAGCTGGGTGATCCAACAGCGAAAAAAGGGAAAAGAACGAGGAAGTTTGGAGTGATCTCCAGGCCTCCTACCAGCAAGGCCCCTGAAGAATCCAAGAGCAGCCTTGGCTGTGAGTCGGCCGATGACCCCAGCTCTGGGCTGGAGAATGGCGCAGACCCTGGACTTGGAAATGGCCACGCCTCTGAGCTAGAAAATGGGCCGGAGTCTCTCAAGGAGGTGGCTGGACCCCAGCTAGAGAGGTCAGAAGTGGACAGAGGGGCAGAGAATAGAGTTCCTCTGGCCACGAGCAATGACAAACGGCGCTTCTCAAAAGCTGGGAAGACGGACTTCCAATCGAGTGACTGCCTGGCACGGGTAAGATTTGGTCTGATGGTAGAACCTGAGTTTTAAAAGAAATATTGTTGAGGTTGCTTTTAAGGTTAAGAAAACATAGCTGAGATGGCCTTGCCTTTAGAAGCCAACAAAGTCAAGGTAAATCATCAGAGCACGCAACAATAACAACAAAGTTTGTCAGTTTATCCTGCTTAAATGAAGAGCTAGTCAAGTGAGCGCAAGTGGAAAGTTGAAGTCTTTGGTGGCAAAATTTATGCCCTAAGAAGCCCGGATAAAGTATTTGAGCTTTATCATTATTTATCACTGCTGTCACGGTGGCATTGCTGCTTCAAGGCCAAGGATTCCTGGTGACAATTGATAGCACAAACATGCAGCTTTCGGTGTTGCACAGGAAGGGTATCCAACAGGCAAGGAAGCATCTGCTTTTATTTTTAACAGTTCAAAACCAGTGACATTTTCCTGGGCTCATGTTGTTACACTGGTGAATTCCTGTAGAGTTGGGGGGCTTCACAGGAGCCCCTGATACCAGGATATCCAGCGGTGATGGTCAAGGTTGGTCTCCCTAAAGGCAAAGCAGATGTGGTACATGCTCAGTGGTAACCGATGAGCTTCTAGACTCAGACTGTGTCCCTCCCGCCTGTAACCACCATTCTCTCAGTTAAGTACGATTTCTTAAAGGCCAGCATGTTCATTCCAGGGGTTCTCTTGCAGATCTTCCTACGGGCAGTAACTTCCTGGGTGGGTGCCGATTGGTTTCTTCTCCAGCTCAAGAGAAGGAACTCTCTAGGGATGAAAAAGAAAAGTGAAAAATGGGCGTGGAAGAACCGGGTTTCATCCTTGCTTGCTGAGAAGTGACTGTAGGACTGTAATTTCTGCTAAGACCACTGCGTGTGTGTTTCTTCAGTTACAGCCAGTCTGTATGATAGAGTGAGAAGAATCAAAATAACCCCCTTTCAAGGGATCCTGTTCCTCGTTTGATTTTCAGAGGAGGCACCATGTACCGATGGAAAGTGTGAATGCACCAGAAGAAATGATGTTTTCATAAATGATTTTCTACCACCTTTGCCCGCCCCCCCCAAAAAAAAAACAGTTAAGTGCAAAAACCATCATAATGGAGCCCCTCACACAATTAAGGGCAATAAAATATAATACTGTGGTCCTTATCAGTGAGTAATAACACCTTCATATGTTCTCTCCTGATTAGATTAGATTGACAGCTCATGATAGATGAAAAAAATAAGGTAAGGAGTGTTGCTGTCCTCAGTCATTTGAAGGTTTAAGGCACAGAAAGGGGGGTGAATCTCACATGCAGTCCTGATAAAAGACTTTTATTTGGCCTGAGACATGGCAAAAATGACTTGGTATGGTTTTAAAAGGGGGGGGGAGGCTTATAAGAGAGCACCTATCGGCTGGCGCCGCGGCTCACTAGGCTAATCCTCCACCTGCGGCGCCGGCACACCGAGTTCTAGTCCCGGTCGGGGCGCCAGATTCTGTCTCGGTTGCCCCTCTTCCAGGCCAGCTCTCTGCTGTGGCCAGGGAGTGCAGTGGAGGATGGCCCAAGTCCTTGGGCCCTGCACCCCATGGGAGACCAGGAGAAGCACCTGGCTCCTGCCATCGGATCAGCGCGGTGCACCGGCCACAGAGGCCATTGGAGGGTGAACCAACGGCAAAGGAAGACCTTTCTCTCTGTCTCTCTCTCTCTCACTGTCCATTCTGCCTGTCGAAAGAAGAAACCAAAACAAAAAAAAAAACCTGACCCATTACCTTTGGGACATTTTTTCCCTCAAGGCACAGGCCCTTGGGAAGGAGAGACCTTCTAGAATTTGTGTTTTGCGTAACTGTACCTAATTTTTGGCCCTGGGTCATGATTTTGGTCTTGGTCAGTCAGAATGGGCCATACCCCTAACCAGGCACAAATGTTCAGGTGCCTTTTCTACCCCGAAAGTCTCTTTGTCATTTGATGCATCTGCCCAGGACTGAGCTGATGAGCAGTATGTCTCCACAGCTTCACCACATCCTAGTGGTCCCAGCCTGGAACCTAAGGTTACTTAGGTTCTGGAACTAGAGTGATTTTTAATTTTTACTCCAGGATAGTTGAGACCAAGGTCATCCTGAACTAAAATTTCCAGAAAAACAAGTTATTTACCTCTTAAAATTTTAGGGGGAAAATTCCATTCCACTTGAATAACGGTACATTAAACAAGTCTGTGTTCTGTTCTATTGATGATTTAATATATCTACAAAGACTTAATAAATCACAGAAAAAGCTTATAATGACCATTCAGACCATTTTTGTTTGTCAGGTTCTTCTTCTTCATAGACTGTTATTTGTTCCAAGAAACAGTTACCTTATAATAAATCTTCAGTCTTTGTTTTCCTGTTTGGTTCTTCCTTAACTGAGCAGTAAGAAATATATTTCCTTCTACCAAATATTTTACTTTCTTAAAAATGGTATGTCTTCATAAAATATTAACCCATAATGATACAGGATTAATTTTTATTTTTTTAAAGATTTATTTACTTGAAAGTTGGAGTTACACAGAGAGAAAAAGAGAGGCGGAGGCAGAGAGAGAGAAGTCTTCATCTGTTGGTTCACTCCCCAATTGGCCGCAATGGCTGGAGCTGCACCAATCTGAAGCCAGGGGCCAGGAGCTTCTTCTGGGTCTCCCACATGGGTGCGGGGGCCCAAGGGCTTGGGCCATCTTCTACTGCTTTCCCAGGCCATAGCAGAGAGCTGAATTGGAAGTGGAGCAGCCGGGACTTGAACCGGCATCCATATGGGATGCTGGCACTACAGGTGGCGGCTTTACCCACTACGCCACAGTGCCAGCCCCCACAAGATTAATTTTTAAAAAGAAATATAAAAGTTGAATCCATCCTCTAAAACATAACAATCTCTTAAGAAATAGACAAGCCATTTGAAAAATAAATTCAGAGATCCTTCTTATCTTTCCAGCAAAGAACTCTATCATCCAAGATTTGCAATTCTGTCTATGTAAATTGTCTATCTTTTGTAATGCTGCATAGTGAAAATGAATACGACCAAACACAGTTTCATAATAATTTAAAAAAAAATCCTAGCACTTGCCAAGCAGGCAAGTTTATTCACAGCTGTCCCATGTACGTCTGTGGGTACAGCTGTGGTCTTATCCCGGTCATCATAACCCGCCCTATAGCAGGCCTTTCCCTTGTGCCTTTTCCGTAAGTGGCTTATCACAGGCGAATGGGGCACGGGAAAGGGTGGTGAATTCTGAAGCAGGGTCTCTCTCCCCACGTCTCTGAGTGGTCACTGAGGTTTGCCATCAGACACAGGCAGCATGGGTTGCGATCTTCTCGGGAGTCCTGCGGTCGCTGGGTGAACCTGTATCGTCCTGCCTAGGGATGTCTCCTGAGTCCATGTCTGTGCCTTCACCTCCCTCCTGAGCCCTTGAACTTTACACCAGCCGCCTGTAGGGTGTGTCCATCTCGGATATTCCACGTCATGCCACAAACTCAGGGCATCTCCTTTGTCTACCACCAGCCCCCTCCAGTGTTCCAAGTCTCACCATCTTAAAGTTGTCCCAGTCACAGGCGAAACATTCAACCAGGGTGACCATCCACCCTGGTTGGTCCAAGACTTTCCCTGGTTGCTCAGTGAGAATCCTGGAACTGTCCATCGCAGGCAACCTGGGGTGGCTGAGCACCCTGCCGTGCATTGAAATGCTGCCCTCTCCCTTTCCCACATCCGGTGCATCGCCACAGCCTGTCCGTCCTGGGCTTCCTCTCGGATCTCACAGCTCATGGCACCCCTCCTTTCTCCACACCCACAACTTTAGGTCCTGGCCAGCTGCTTTCATTTCTCACCTGGGCAGTGATGATCACCCTGTGCCAGCCTCACTGCCCACCCCACACCATGTATCCACCATCCCCCCTGAGCCAGAAGGACACTTCGAAAGAGCAGATCTCATCGTCTCATGGACACATGTGCAGGAACAGACATATTATTGCCATATGCATGTGCACATGTACTTGTACACACATGCACACGCACACCCATACACATACACCCCTGCTGTAGCTTACACCCCGTGGTGGGCCCATTCGGCTTTCAGAGTAACATCCAAACGCACCCTGGCATGTCATTCCAGGCCCTTCATTGCTTGATCCCTGCTTAATGTTCTGCCTCCAGGTCTCACGGCTTGCTTTCTAATGCTTTCTGTTCATCAGTTTGTTATATAGTAAGGAGTATTATAAAGGGTAAAGATGGACAGACAGAAGAAGAGGCACATAGGACAAGGTCCAGAAGGGTCCCATGCAGAAGTCCGTCCCCGTGCAGGGAGTTTGTGCCCTCCTCGTGTCTTGCGGAGACACTCACAGGGATCTCAGTGCTTTGGGCTGAATGGGCCACAGGGTTTTGTTTTGTTCTTTTCCATTACAATTTTTAAAATTATTTTGAGAGAGGGAGAATGCTTGTTCACTCTCCAGATGCCCACAATGGTCAGCAGGGCCAGAGCTGGGAGCCAGGAACAATCCGGTGGGTGGTGGGACCCCAGTCACTTGAGCCATCACCATTGCCTCCTATTAACAAAAAGCTAGAGTTGGAAGCTAGCACCAGTATCAAACCTAGGTATTGTGCCTGAGCAACTGAACCACTAGGCCGCGTGGCTGCCCTTCCTACAAATGTGTCAAGGCCATGCTCACTCAGCCTCTGGGAGCTAAAGGCCACTGCAGACGTAGCTGTCACTGTCGGGTTCCCTCCCTTCCCTGGGTATGTCAGCTCCTGCCTTTCCCAGGGCACTAGTCGTTAAGACGGCTCCTTTCAGAGGCCTGCATGACATTCCTGCCACCTGCTGCATTGTGAAGCGTCTCCTTCCTGGGCACCCGCAGGACCCCCCGCTGTCTCCATGGAGGCACAAACCCTAGTTTCCATCTGGGCTGTTGTGGAAGAACCTTATTTGTCTTTCTGTCCTCTGTCCTAGCTCAGTGTCTTGCACCTGAAGGTATCCTGTAGCTATTTGTTAAGGAAGATGCCCAGGAGATGGGACATTGAGTGCCAGCCCCAGCTCTGTGACCCTCAGGCTGCCACTGCTTGCCTCTAGGTTTCTGTTTTCTCCTTACGAACTGAGCGTTTTGGTCTCATGACGGAGGGACTTCCAACTCACATTGTGATCACACGTGTCCTCATTTCTTCTGATCATTCTCAACCAGAGGGGATGAGCAAAGCACCCCAGAATAGGTCTGCAGCTCCAGCCAGAGTGTTGACTGCAGTGAAATTGTACTTGGATGCTGCGTCTTCTCACAGTTGGGGCAAAGATGTTGTAAAACGCTTTGGGTTCCAGCAGAAATGAGGTCATGGCCATGCTGCGAGACAGCTCCCTTTCATGTACTGCCCTGTTTGGGTCCATAAATCCCTATGCTGGCCTCAGAGAAGAGGCATATTGTGTGGGAACTCGCACAGTAGTCGGCAGTTTATAGGAGAGGCTAACACCCTGACCACATCAGTACAGAAGTCCATAGCATCCCATTTTTTCATGGTTTGGCTTTTTCTCAACCGGCTGACAAAATCTCATTGCCTTTTAAGCCAACTTAAAAGGAAACAAATGCCCAAACCATCTGCCTGGACAGAGACCCTTTCAGAAGTCAGTCATCAAACACGCAGGTCTCCACCTGGGGCAGCGTCTTAGCTTCAGTCTCTGTGACTGCCTAGGACTGTGAGATGAGTGCATAAGCACTCTATCGGTTAATTCGATGATATTTGTGGAATGTGGTCATGGCGTGCTTGGCACTGTTACGCTCATAACTGTTGGTAAACGAGAGAGACAGGCTTTCTGCTCCGTGGCATTTATAGCCTCCAAGGGGTCACAAACAATTAAAAAAGCAAATGACTTCGATTGTCAGGTAGTGACAGGCACCATAAATGAACTAAAACGGGGGGAAATGCAAGGCAGCTGGGCAGTGTGGTGGCTGGGAAGTGTGCTGATCCCGGGTGGCAGCGGCGCTCACTACAGAGATGACGTTTGAGCGGAGGACTGGGTGTCGGGATCGGCTGGCCTTGCGGAATCTGGGGGCAGAATGGTCCCAAGGAGGAGCTGAGAAAAGCACCTGCCCGAGGCAGCAGTGATAATGTGTTCCCGAAAGAAACCGGGCGCCAGCAGGTGATTCATAGGTGTGGACGGGGTAGGTCACAGAGGTTCAAGTGCACCATCACAGAGAGTTTGGGCAACAGCCTCGCTTCAACAGGGAATTGTCGGAGGGCTTAAACTGGGTACGTCGTGATGTATGTTTTTTAGATGCTCATCCAGAATGTTTGATGAAGAATTACAGATGGTGGGAGGTAGCAGCAAAAAAGGGAGGCCACATTGGAGGCTCCTGTTGTCACCCAAGCTGAAGACGCTGGCCGCTTTGACAAGGATGTGGTTGGGGGACGGAGATGGGGGGACAAGCAGAAGTAACTGTGGGCTCCATTGGGTGAACAGAGCCTGCAGATCTTGTTCAGATATGGAGGTGCAGGAGAGGGGAGGGCTCAAAGATAACTCCTGTGTCATCTTTAGCTTGAATAGATGACAGTGCTGATCCCACTACGGTAGGAAACCCAGGAGCCAGAGCAACAGAGAGTCTGGTTTTGACCATCCCGAGATGCGTTAAATACCCAAGCGTGACTGTAAGGAGGCAATTGGAAACACACTTAAAATTGCTGTATTTAAGTTGGCCTGCTGATATTTCACAGCACCAGCTTTGGCCTCATAAACTTCAGACACTGATTTTATTTCTAACTGAACTTCACTTTAGCCTTCGGCAGCTAAATTTAATGCTGAAAACTGTACCATTAAAATTGATAACATTTGCCTTTTGTTGCCTATGTTTTCCTTTATATTCCTCTGAACTCCTTCATTAGTTGACCAAGAAATTCCAGGGCAAGGAAACTTGCATTGATTTCTTTGAACACTATCCTTATAATTTCTACTTTAAATTTGGAAGAAAAAAAATCCAAGCAAATGGAAAACAGTGAAGAAGTGGTTCTTGACCAGCACCATGTTGCACACTGGTCATTTCTACTCCTGAAGTCATTGTTGTTGGATTCATTTTGTTTCAAAATTTATTTAGTTGAAAGGAAGGTGAAGGAAGGAGAGAGCTCTTCCATCTGCCAGCTTGTTTCCTAAATGGCCACTGAGGCTGGGGCTGAGCCAGGCTGAAGCCAGGAGCTAGAGACTCCATCTGGATCTCCAACATGGGTGGCAGGGCCCCAGCTACTTGGGCCATCGTCCACTGCTCTCCCCAGCCCTTCAGCAGGAAGCAGATCAGCCAGGGCTGCCGGCACTCTGCTATGGGGCGCTGGCACAGCAGGCAGTACTTGAACCTGTATGGCCCCTGGTTCATTTTTAACTGGCTGGAGGAGGAGTGTGATGTGGAGTAGTGGGTGTTCTTGATGAAGACTGTCTCACTCTTCCAAGCAGAGTGTACACGTAGGCCATTATTCTACCCCCATGAAAACAGATTTGCATGTTCTTGTCACAAGTCTTGTTCTTTTTTAAGATTTATTTATTTGAAAGAGTTACACAGAAAGAGAAGGAGAGTCAGAGACACAGAGAGAGAGGTCTTCCATCAGCTGGTTCACTCCCCAGTTGGCCGCAATGGCTGGAGCTATGCCGATGCGAAGCCAGGAACCAGGAGCTTCCTCCTGATCTACCACGTGGGTACAGGGGCCCAAGGACTTGGGCGATCTTCTACTGCTTTCCCAGGCCATAGCAGAGAGCTGGATCAGAAGTGCAGCAGCCGGGACTTGAACCAGTGCCCATATGGGATGCCGGCACTGCAGGCAGCAGCTTTACTCAGTAGGCCACAGCACCGGCCCCACAAGTCCTGTTCTAAAAGCATTTAAAAAGGGTGTGTATCTAGTACTGTCAGACTCCCTGGGAGCCATGTTTATCTGTTCTGTTTAACCAAAAAAAGTCAAAAAATAAGGAAAAGGGGGAAAGGGTGATGGTGTAAACTTGTAATAGGGTTAGACATTTTCACCAATTTGGGCTAAAGCCAAGTCAGCTTTCTTGTTTCTGGACTCCAGTCATGGTCCCAGTTGCTCCTGGGAAGGAAGGCCACAGCTCTTCTGAATTTGTCCTTTCCTGTGGTGTCCACTAGGCCACAGCGCCTCCTGTACCAGAAGCAATAGAGACTGCCATGTTGGCGGTCGCGCTGGTTGTCAAGGGTGGGTTTTTGGAAGTCGTGCAGCCATGGGAGACTTTGAGGGCCAGGGAGGGTGTTTCTGAATGGAGAAGAGAAAGGTGTTCCAGAGGTCAGAGGCAGCAAACCAAAACCCACGGACTCCAAAGTGAGGCGATCAGATGAAATAGGGCTCGCTGACAAGTTCATGAACTACTGTGGTGAGCCAGTGACTTCTGAAGTTACATTTGGCCAGACAGGCTTCGTTTGTCTGTGGTCCACAGCTGGAGGAGACGGTTGGCACCACCGTGCGTTGCTGGAATAATGGAGTGCCGCAGAGCAGCACAGTTCTAGAGAAAGTGTAGTATCCACCAGGTCTCTGTCTGGTTATCATTTCCCCAGACATTCCTAACGCTGCACATCAGTGCCTTCAACATCTGGGTTTTTAACATTGCATAAGAACTCATTTTAATTTCTGAGTGTGTGTCTCGGATTTTCTAAATGCTTCACATTCTTTCTCCTTTGCAAACAGCTTCAATGGGCAGGTTGCCCGTTACTAGGGGGACCGTATTGAGCTTTAGCCATTCCATTGGACCTCCGTGAGGGGTAGAAGCAGCAGCTGGTTCTTGTTGTATATGTTGCGGGATGCACTCTGAGCCATGCCCGTGTAGCTAGGACTACAAAGAAGCACAGGGGTGAGTCCAAGGCCCCAAACTAAATCGCTGGTGAAGGTTTTGCTTTCATTTCTCCTAGCAGCCTGGGATCTGCAGGAACTCCACCCTTCTGCAGGGAGCTCACGTGTGTGTCCTTGGAGTGAAGGAGGGAGCCAAGTGTAAGATGAGCCAAAGCCAGGAGGCTCCAGGCCCTCAGACAGTGTGAGGCATCCATGAGCTAGTTCAGAAAGATAGGGTTTTTTTTGTTTTTTTTTGTTTGTTTGTTTGTTTGTTTGTTTTTATGTAGGAATTGAAGCATTTTTTAAAAATGTGTTTAAAGAGTTTCAGACCAGTGTCTGTAGCAGTGACTATAAAAGTCATCAGCTGATTTTCTGCTGTGGCTTCTCCTACCCAAGATCTCGTAAATATGATTTAAGGAAGTTTGAGATTGAGCTGAGTTTGACATTTTAACACACTTACACTTCTCTGTGAATACATAAGTAATATATGGTTACTTAGCAACATTCATTATGTCTTTACCAGACTTCATGCTACTGCCTGTTTCCATAAGGATCTCATGTAAACCTAACAAGTCTGGCAGTATTAATAGGTATTGCTACCTTACAGGCGGGGAAACTGAGGTTTGTAGGCATCAAGTGGCTTCTGTAAGTTCTAAATGGTGGAGCTGGGTTCAGACTCATTAAACTCTCCTGACACCAAGGCCTGAACTTCCGTCTTCTTTTCCTCCTTCCTTAGTTAGTATCTGTGCCGGATAAAAGGGAGCTAGACTCAGCCAGTGCTCACATACAGGGCGGCATGCGGGTGTCAGGCATAAGCTTCACCTACCCGGCCAGCGTCAGGAAACCCAGTCATCCAGCCTGCTAGACTGCCCCACGTCAGAGTTCAGTTCCTCAGCTGCCACTCGCCCCATCTCAGGCACTGCGCACCCGCCTGTGGCTCACGGGTTAGAGGCGCAACCTTCGAGGCATCTCCCTTGTCGCGGACAGTTCTGCTGGGCAGCACCGCCAGCCCGAGGCTTGGTCCAGTCCGCATGGAGTGTTTCCCACTGTGATGCCTGATGCCAAGCGATGGCTTTGGGGCTGACGCTACAGCTCTGCCCTGCCGTGTTCATGCCATGTGTCTGTCCAAAGCCTTCACGGTGTGCTCACTTTTTCTTCCAAGGAGGAAGTTGGCCGGATATGGAAGATGGAGCTGCTCAAAGAGTCCGATGGGCTGGGAATTCAGGTTAGTGGAGGCCGAGGATCAAAGCGCTCACCTCACGCTATCGTTGTCACCCAAGTGAAGGAAGGCGGTGCCGCTCACAGGTGACTAGAAAACTCTCCCCCACCTCTCTGCCGCCCACCCCTCTTCCCCCAGGGTCAGTCCTTGGCCACGTGCTCAAAGCCCTGCTAATCGCAGCTCGCCAGGATCTTACTTCAGTGCGGGAGAAAAGCAGGCGGGAGTGGTTCCAACTGAACACACCTCTGGGCACAGGGAACGGCTGACTGGGTGTGTCGGGGGTGGGTGCTGCAGGGTCCTCCCAAGCCGGAAGGAGAGACGGATTTCTTTCCGGTCCAATTGTAGTGTCAAGCGAATGTTTCTCATCTTAGCGTTCTGGGAGCTGGTCCCGCGGTGATCAGTGGTGATGGGTCAGAACACCACAGTCCTGACAGCTCTGTAAGACTGTAACTAATGCCCTGGAAAGGGACCACCATTCCCGTGCTGGGGCTTCTCCCGTTAGGTCTGGGAGGATTTCACACACGCTCACATACGCATGTCCTGCCACGCAGATGTGGAAGGAGACAAAAGCAAACGTGATTGTTTCTCCTCAAGACCTGAAAACAATTCATGCTTAAACATGTGGCTTTGAGCCCAAACATGACGTGCAGTGGGAAGAGGGACCATGTCTAGCTGGAACATACTCAGAAAGATGTCCATCCTGAGTGTGAGGAGTGCAGCTATCCCAGATGTCAGCCGTGGCCTTGCCCTGCTAGCTGCTTGCTTCTGTGTACACGGGGTGTTGCTAACTGCAAGGCATGGTTGGGCGTGTGCACGTGTTGCATGCCCACACGTGTGCAGTAGGTATATCCGTGTGTGTGTCAGTGTGTGCAGTTTCACTAGTGAGGGAGGTGATGATCTTCATCTGGCCTGCAATTTGGTGGTCAGTGCAGGAGTCTAAGAAGAGTGTGGCAAACCCCAGCGGTGCTGGGCTGCCCGGGGTGTCTCGTGAGGTACCGTGGAAGGAGCTGGAGATGCTTAGTGTGCAGAATGCAAAGTGAAGAGAAGGACCAGGGCTCACACCAGCAAAGGGCGTCCTGCTCTTCAGCCCTCTACTGGAGAGCAGGATGCTAACAACTCGAGAGAAGATGAATTGCAGTTGTTGAGTATATGGGTGGCAGGAGTCACTGAAGGATTAAGTACGTGGATGGTTTTTCCTCAAAAGAACTTTATGAAACTTCCCAAATGATAGATGCCTTGAGGAATTCTCTCAGGTAGCCCTTGTCCCATTAATCTTGGGGCTTGGGTTGCAGTCTGTCTTCGGCAAGTTGGCGATTAGGAAATCCCTGTGCCCAGAGCTGAGTTTCTGTAGAACTGCTCTTGTCTCTTTCCCATCTGAGCCACCTCGGTGGGTCTCAGCATTTGCTTTTCATCCTTAACCTGGAGGGTGTGTCCCTCCGCCTCTGGGGCGTGTGACTCACAAGTGGGGCATCATAGTTAGTCATCAGAGATGAGAGAAATAGAAAACACAGCCCACATGAGCTTGATGATGTTGTAGATGCATAAACCCAGGGACACTGGCCGGAACCATTGAATTCTTTATGCCTGACTCCCTCTCCTCCAAAAGAAACATCTCAGAACAACCCACAATACCTCTTTGAGATTCCAGTGTGTTTTTTTCTTTGGTTTTCCCATTCCCCGTCTCTCACCATTCCTAGCAACTTGTGGGGGCTGGGAGTGGAGGGGAAGTGTTGGGGGGCGGGGCCTAGGATTTCTCTGCTTCAGAGCTCTGAATGACAGAAAACAGAAGGTGTGATGCCTCCTGTCTTCTGTTACATTCCTAGACGAGATGAGCAAGGAGACGGAGACAGAGAGAAGCCGTTGAAGGCAGCACAGATGGGAGGAGACACACTGGTTGAGTCACTGAAAGAAAGCAAGGGAGAGAAAAGACCTCGGTGCAGCTGGGAGCGCTGGAGATGTGCCTGGGTTCTTGGCCGCACCTTGAATGCCGGTGTGACGTCTTCAGAGGGGGAGGTGGACTATCCGGCTCTGTCAGGTTACCTGTCCCGTTTTTAGTAATCTCTGGGTCCTTTGGGACCAGGGGAGACAGAGCTTTGGAGGCTCGTGTTGACCCACCATCACTGAAAGATGCTGAGTCTCTGCCAGAGGAAAGGAGGTCAGAGTCAGCCAATGCTTACGTTAGAGGCAACAGGGAGTCGGGCAACGATTGTCTACTCACAGCTGTAGCCCGGTCTGACACCTGCAGCAACCAGGGATTAGGCAGATGGATCGGTTATTCATCTGTGGAGATCCACGGATCAAAAAGGCACAGAGTGGCCTTACCCTCACGGTCCAGCAAGTCTGGGCTGGGAAGAGGGTTACGGGCACGTGCAGCAGCGTGTCAGTCACAGGTGCCCAGAGGAAATCTGGTGAGGCTCACGTCATCTGGGAGAGAGGGGCCAGAGGGTTAGGAGAGGACTGCTGGTGGGCTTATAGCCTTTAGCTCTTTGGGGGCCAAAGACTCAGCCCTGTGATGACAGGGGCAGGATGACAGGTGGGATTCAGAAAAAGAATGATGGACTCCTAAAACCGTGGTCCTGCTGCCACCAGGCACCTGGAGGGGAGGTTCATTGCCATTGATGTGGTAGTGACTTGAGAATGTTTCACTCCTGCAGTGGGATTCTGAGCACAAAGGCTACTGCACTCCCCTCGCAAACTCTCTGGTCGTCATTGCTTCCTTGATTTCAACCATCCCTTCCCACAACCCTCCCCGACTCCTAAGAAAATGTCCCCTCTTGGGCCCAGAACATCTTGACCAGGGATTTCTCCCCATCTCCATTTCCTCAGGGATGGCAGACTGTCCTTAGGAGATGAGCTGCTGGTAATCAATGGGCACCTATTGGTTGGGCTGTCCCACGAGGAAGCCGTGACCATTCTTCGCTCAGCCACTGGAATGGTGCAGCTGGTGGTGGCCAGCAAGGTAGGTTGTTTTTGATTGTTTCTGGCGTTTTCAGTGGTGGTGGTGAACTTGGATTCGAGTCCTGCCCACGCCACACACACCTGTGTGTGTGTCCCTGCACCTTAACCTTGGGCCATTTAAATAGCCACGATTCTGTAGGACAGCCCACACGGAGATGCCTCACTGAAGTGTACGTAATTATTGTGCTTGTGTTTATACGTATGTTAGGGGTTGGAAAATAAACACTAGAATGGAGGAAGAAGGTGAGGATGGAAGGGAGGAAGGAAACACAGTGTGGAGAGAACCCAGCTCTCCCGGAAGAATGCGGAGTTGTGAGTCTGGAAGGCAGGAAATAGGCGATGTGGTCATTGTGTCTTACAAGGCTCAGGGCCCTCCGTGGGCAGGCTGTGGGCCTGGGTTCCTGCTCACAGCCTCACCAGGTGTTGGCGCTGGAGGAAGCCTGTGTTGTGGATTGGATCTCGTGGAGCTGTCTTGGGGTTAGCAGGGTGGAGGGTTGATCCCACTGTGGTGGTGTTAAAAGCAGAGGCCTTCGGGAAGCGATTGGCTTGGATTAGATTGCCCGGGTGGAGCAGTGGTCATGAAGAGACCACAGAGGGGTAGAGGAGGAGTGGGCTCCCTGTGTCTCTGCTTCCTGACTCAGGACGTGCTGGTCTTCTACACAGGCTCCACCACTGCCAGCCTTCCCCAGGTGCCAACCAGTGGGGCTGTCCTATCCTGCACTGTGAACCTCCAAACCATGAGCTCCTCCCAGGTCTCTTAGTGAAAGGCACAAGAAGCCCACCAGTATGCTTCACGGCTCCTGTTTGTCCAGACATCCCACCATGTGTGCCCTCCCCATTATTCCTCCCAGTTTTATAGAGGTCTTCCACACCCAGCTGCCACCTTGCAGAGGCCATGACACTGTCAGGAGTACCTGGGCCCTTGATGGGCAGCCCGACGTCAGTCCAGTCTTGCTGCCACTTCTTCCCTTTGGCTGTCTCTCCACAGGGTGCTGAGGCCCTGGGCTGGGGCATCTTTGACTCTCTCTGGCAGACACGTAGTGCCCATGCCCTGGGTCACGTGGTGCCCGTGCCCTGAGTCCCCGGCATCTGTATTCCCCTCTGATCTCGGCAGGCTGAAAGCACTGGAGAAGGCAGTGACAAAGGGAGGCACTGCCTTCTCCGATCTGTCCTCTGTGCTGTGGATCAGCGGTTAGCGAGGTGGAGCTCCTCGGGCTTCATCTCAATTCTGCGGGGAAGAGTTGGTGGAAGGCCCTTTGGAGCGTCACTCTCTTGCAAGCATGCCAGCAAGGGAATCCTTTTCCCGTTACCCCTTTTGTCATTTTCCCTCTTAGAGTGCGAGGTCTATTGCCAGTTTGGGGAGTACAGGTGGATCTCCCCACCCCTAAGTTCTGCATCTGTAGGTTGAAGCAACTGTAGAATGAAAATGTCTGGGGAAAGTTGTATTTGTGCTGAACACATACAGACCTCTCTTGTCATTATTCCCCTAAATGTGCAGTGTAGCGTTTATATAGCATTCACATTGTATTAGGTATAATAAGTAGTCTAGAGGTGATTTAAGGTGCACAAGAGGATGTGCGTAGCTTGTACACAGTCACCATGCCACTTTCTTTGAGGGCCTTGAGCCCCTGTAGATTTTGATACCTGCAGGAAAGTTCTGGAACCAGTGTCCACAGATGCTGAGGGGAGGCTGTATCTAACAAACAGGTTGGTGGAACATTTTGAGCTACTGGAAAACATTGCTTTCCTCTTACCTTTTACCCTACGTGCTGCACCTAGAGCCTTGGCGAAGACCTGGCAGGAAGAGCGGCCACCCTGAGGCCCTGGGGGCGGGAGCTGAAACCCGTCTCCAGCTGCAGGTCCTCTGCTCCTTCTCTGGCACCGGGGGACCTCGAGCTGCAAAGACGTCTTCACCCAGGATGCCTGCCGTGGCCGGCTGCATCCCTTGCTGGGGAGGACGGGGAAGGAGAGAGATTCCTGGGTCTGAAGAGAGTTTGAAAGCATCCCCATCCCCAGGCCTTGAGCACACACACAGCCGTGTGTTTGCAGAGAACGCCCGTTCTGCTTGCACAGCCCTCCTGCCCATAGACAGAGGCTTACAGACCTGGATCTCTGCCCAGGGGTTCCCCACACCACCACGCCTTCCTGTCGGAGCCCCCTTCTTTCTCCTGCTGGGAAGGGGGGAAGGGATCGTCTTTTCTACGTTAAGCATTATCCCCAAACACACACAAAGAAAATAAACGGTAAAAACATAAGGGGCCACTCCTCATCAAGCTCTTAAGGGACATTCCCAGAACTTTGAGAAGCATTTCCTGGGTGAGGCCTGGCCTCTGAGCCCTCGACCCACTTAAGGAAGGGAGAACCCGGGCATGTATCAGGTGCTCACCAGGTACCAGGTACTTTTTACCTATCATCTCATTGAAGTCTTTAAAAAAAATAATTCCATGGGACATATATCAGGGTGGTGTTTGTTTGTTTTTTAATCCAAGGAATGGCATTAAAATCCATGTGGCTGGGGATGATATTTGGCGCAGTGGTTACTAAGTTGCTTAGGATGCCCACATCCCATATTAGAGTGCCTGAATTCAGGATCGACCTCCATTTCCCAACCAGCTTCCTCCTAATGCACACTCTGAGGGGCAACAGGTGATGGCTCAAGCACTTGGTTCCTTGTCACCCGTGTGGGAGAATCAGACTGAAATCGGGGCTCCTAGCTTTGACCTGGCCCGGCCCAGGCCTGCACAGCCCTGCTGTTGGAGACATTTGGAGAATGAACCAGAAGATGGAAGATTTTCTGTCTGTCTGTGTGTGTGTGTGTGTGTCTGTCTGTCTGTCTCTGCCTTTCAAACAAAATGAAAATAATTTTTTTAAGATTAATTTATTTATTTGAAAGTCAGAGTTATACAGAGAGAAGAGAGGCAGTGAGAGAGAGAGAGAGGTCTTCCATCTGCTGGCTCACTCCCCAGTTGGTCACAACGGCCGGAGCTGTGTCAATCTGAAGCCAGGAGCCAGGAGCTTCCTCCGGGTCTCCCACATGGGTGCAGGGCCCAAGGACTTGGGCCATCTTCTACTGCTTTCCTAGGCCACAGCAGAGAGCAGGATCAGAAGTGAGCAGCCAGGACTCAAACCAACACCCATACGGGATGCCAGCTCTGCAGGAGTTGTCTTTACCTGCACACCACAGCATCGGCCCCTGAAAATAAATTTTTAAAAAAAATCAAAACCCAAGTGGCTGGAGCCAGCATTGTGGTTCAGCAGGTTAAGCCATCACTTCACCAGTGGTATCCCATATCAGAGTGCTGCCTTGAGCCCCTATTGCTCTGCTTCCCCATCCTACTAATGCACCTGGGAAGGCAGACAGAAGATGATTCAAGTACTTGGGCTCCTGCCACCCATGTAGGAGACCATGAAGGAGCTCCTGGCTTCAGCCTAGTCCTCACCTGGCTGTTGCGACCGTTTGGGGAATGAACCAGAAACCAGAGGATAGCTCTTCCTCTCTCTCCTCTCCTTCTCTGCTTTTCTCCCTCTCCCCCTGTCACTCTGCCTTTCAAATTAATTAATTTTTGATGAATGTGTTTTGTTTTTGGACCAGAAGAGGAGCAGCCAGGACTCAAACTTGTATCTCAGGATGCCAATGCAACAGGCCAGCCCAAATTAATTAATTTTTAAAGATATATTTATTGTATTTGAAAGGCTGAGTTACAGAGGGGCAGAGGCAGAGAGAGAGGTCTTCCATCTACCAGTTCACTCCTCAAATGGCTGCAACTGCCAGAGCTGAGCTGATCCGAAGCCAGGAGCCAGGAACTTCTTCCAGGTCTCCCATGCGGGTGCAGGGGCCCAAGCACATGGGCCATCCTCCACTGCCTTCCCAGTCCATAGCAGAGAGCTGGATGGGAAGTGAAGCAGCCAGGACTCAAACCAGCGCCCATATGGGATGCTGACATTTTAGGCAGCAGCTTTACCAGATACGTGACAGCGCCGGCCCCAAAGTTAATTAATTTTTAAAAAATCTAAGTTGTTACCTAACTTGTCCCAGGGGCACACAAACAGGGTTTTTTCTGAGTCCCCTTGTCATATGCCAAGTCCCTCTTTAGGCAAATAAGACACAAAATGGGGGCCGGCACCATGGTGTGGTAGGTTGAGGCTCTGCCTGAGGTGCCAGCATCCCACATGGGTGCCAGTTCGTGTCCCAGCTTCTCCTCTTCTGATCCAGCTCTCTGCTGTGGCCTGGGAAAGCAGTGGAGGATGACCCAAGTCCTTGGGTCCCTGTACCTGTGTGGGAGACCGGGAAGAAGCTCCTGGCTTCTGGCTCCAGATCAGCACAGCTCCAGTCGTTGTGGCCATTTGGGGAGTGAACCAGTGGATGGAAGACCTCTCTCTCTCTGTCTCTCCCTCTCTCTGTCTGTCTGTAATTCTGCTCTCAAGTTAAATAAATCTTTAAAAAATACAAAAGATCAGAAGACCCGAGAGCCAATGGCATTAGGAAAAGATGATATGTCCCACCAGAGGCTTTGATTCCAGGAGCACTCGCCGGGGTCCTTGCAAAGCTAAGCAGCATTCCACAGCCAGAGTGGGCATCCAGTCCAGGCCTCAGTCTGCTAGCCGTGGGGCCTCTGTGCTGAGCTACAGTCTGAAAGCTGAGCCAGACCTCAGAGGAGGGATGGCTTTGCTGCCTTCCTTCACAGTCGGGCAAGACGCTGCTACGCCACCGCCTGCTGTTCACTCCTGATCCTCCTGGGTGCCAGCCAGGGCGCTCGCCGTGTAGCGGGAGAAAGCAGCATGTCTCCTGCACCTCTGAGCGTCTCTTCCTCTTCTTTATCAACAGCAGCACGTGACCCACCGGCTTTGCTTCTGTCTACACACTGGAAGGGGGTGATGGCAGCTTTTGACTGGCGAGTGTAAAGGATAGTGAAAATGTCAATTGTTAGGACAGACCGTAGTCACTGGTCCCCAAGCCCTAAGGCACTGGTGTGCAAATACGGCGGTTACTTTTCTTGTGAAGAGGAAGGCTGATGTCTCTGCAGGCATGTTCACGTGTGGTAGGAGCTGAATGACTGAACACAGCGTGTCCAAGTTAGTGTTGATGTTCCCAGAAGCATCACTTATAAGTGAGGAAGGAGGCCGGCGCTGCGGCTCACCAGGCTTATCCTCCACCTTGCGGCGCCGGCATCCTGGGTTCTAGTCCCGGGCGGGGCTCCGGATTCTGTCCCAGTTGCCCCTCTTCCAGGCCAGCTCTCTGCTGTGGCCCAGGAAGGCAGTGGAGGATGGCCCAAGTGCTTGGGCCCTGCACCCGCATGGGAGACCAGGAGAAGTACCTGGCTCCTGCCATTGGATCAGCGCGGTGCGCTGGCCGCAGCGCGCCAGTCATGGCGGCCATCGGAGGGTGAACCAATGGCAAAGGAAGACCTTTCTCTCTGTCTCTCTCTATCTCATTGTCCACTCTGCCTGTCAAAAAAATAAATTAAATAAATAAATTAAAAAAAAAAATAACTGAGGAAGGAGTCTTCAAAAAGCTCACAGAAAACGTGTATCATGAAAAAGCTATGCATGGACTTCAGAATGCTTTGCACCCAAATAAACTTACCCTTTAATTCCATTTTCCATGAACTTTATGAGTATTTATTTATCTAGGAAGCAGAGAGACAGCGAGTTCCCACCTGCTCATTCATTCCCCAATTACCCACAAACCCAGGCGGAGGGGAGACTGTCCCAGGCTGAAGCCAAGAACTTAATCCAGGTCTCCCATGTGAGTGGCAGGAACCCAATACCTGAGCCATCACCACTGCCTCCCAGGGTCTGCATTAGCTGAAAGCTGGAGTCAGGAGCCAGAGCCAGGTGTCAAACCCAGGTACCCTAAAACAGGACACAGGTCTTTTACTTAGTGTCTTTACCATTAGGCCAGCACCTTTTCCTTTCCACACACCTTTTTTTTTTTAATGTTTCTTTTTTAAAAAATTTATTTGCTTATATATTTAAAAGGTAAACAGGGTGAAACAGTGGGGGGTGAGGGGGAGATCTTCTGTCTGCTGGTTCAGTCCTCAAATGGCCATACTGGCTATGGCGGGACCCGACTGAAGCCAGGAGGCTGAAACTGCATCTGTGTCTCCCTCATGGGTGGCAGGGGCCAAAATACTTGGGCCATCATCTGCTGCCTTCCTGCATTAGCAGGGAGCTGGATTGGAAGCAGGACAGACAGGACTTGAACTGGTGCTCAGATATGAGATGCTAGTGTCACAGGTGGTACCTTAACCAGCTGCGCCACAGTGCCGGCCCCTCCACACGTGTTTCGAAGTCTCCCCACGTCATGTCACTACATGTCACTACATATTACTTGAACTGATCTTCTGTGCCGAGTGCCCTCCTATAAGGCTCCTTCCAGATCAGAGAGAAGGTTTCTACGGGTCGTATTATCATGGTCCAAGAGTCTCTTCTGTCACATTGTCACTCACCAGGTGGAGCCCTCATTTTTTTTTTTTTTTTTTTTAACTCTTTTTCTGTGAATGGTCCGGTGGAGTTGATATCACAGAGGAGGAATGAACTCACTTTCTGGTTTCGTAACTCCTTTTCCTTTCGCTGGGTAAAGGCTCCCAGCTCCATAGGCACAATTACTGATCAAAAGTGAATTATTTTCAGGTACCTTGGAGGCGGAACCAGCATCAGCCCGGTAACAGCCGGCACAGTCCTTGGATGCCAGCTCACTGAGACTTTGTAAAGTTCATGGCTTCACATGTTTGGTTTTGTCCTTTTCTCCACCACCCCTCAAGCAGCATAATGGTTGAAACTTTCTGCTCACTTCCTGTGGAAATGGCTGGTGTGGCAGACCTGGGAAAGAACCCAGTTCTTGTTTTTGCAGGCCTTGGATGAGCTGGGCAGCCCACACCCCTCCCTGGACCCCGCCTCCTGCGCTGAGGCATTTCCTGGGAGAGCTGCCGTTCCTCATGTGCATTTGGGAATGTCACAAGGCTTTAAGGATTTCACCAGCATCCCACAACCCACTCAGGCCTGACCTGTGCCTAGGGAAGGAGGGCTGTGCTGCCACAGCCTCCTTCAGTCATAAGAGTCGGGGTCAACAGTGGTACAGGGCTCTGGACTCCTAGCTGCTTCCTGATACAGCTCCGACCATTGTGGCCATTTGGGGAGTGAACCAGTGGATGGAAGAACTCTTTTCTGTCTCTCCTTCTCTAACTCTACCTTGGTGTCTCTGGTTGGCGTTTTGATTCAGTAAGCTATATAATCTCTCTTTCATAAGCATATGCTAGTGAGATGAGCAGTGGGGCTGGGGAAGAGGAAGTAAGGCATATTTGAGCTGGTGGTTAGGCCTGGGGACACAGCAATGGGTAGAAATGGGGTTAGCCCGGAGGAAGTCTCGGACAACCTGGGGAGACAGCCTCACACACTGTGCAGGAATAAAAGACCTGGGCAGGGACATCAGAGGAGAAAGGCAAAGGAGACCCTGCCCAATGAGCGAGGAAGGCTTTCTGAAGGAAAGGATGCTCAGGCTTTGCCCAAATAGGCCTTGGCCATGCAGAAGGCATGGACCAACCATTTGGAGCTGATAGTGGGACAGGTGGTGGGGCCGCGAAGAGCCGGGAGGGCTTGGGGGCCAAGGTGACTTGACGGAAGGGATAGGTAGGAGACAAGGATGCGGGCAGGTGAGTTTGGAGAAATAGGTAGAGGCCTGTCAGTGAGGGGATTTAGACTGTGCCTGAATGCACAGGCAGGCCACTAAAGATTTGAACTTCAGGGAGCTTGGAGTATCTACAGAAACACTGACCTCTTCAGGGGAAAAATTGGTTTCTGTTAAAGTTGAGCCCATACCCTTAACCTTTGAGGGAACCTTGCAAAGGCAGAACAGAGACTCCATATGGTCTTTGGCTTGGGAGCTCATAGCTTGATTCTTACGAGGTTAATTTCAAGAACTGGTCGGTGCTGGGGGATAATTCATGGGCCTTTCCTTATGTCCCAATAGGAAAACTCTGCGGAGGATCTGCTCAGGTTAACATCTAAGAGTCTGCCTGATCTGACCAGCTCCGTAGAGGACGTGTCCTCCTGGACTGACAACGAAGACCAGGAGCCCGACGGGGAAGAGGACGAAGGAGCGGGCTCGTCTTCCGACCGGGCAGCAGTAAGTGTGCGCCTCTGGTTTCCCAGCCTGCTCTGTTGGGATTCATGATGACATGGGTGCCAGCATCAGAGGATAAATGCTTGAAAGATTAGGATAGAGAGCAGAATGAGAGAGGACCACAGTGGGATTTTTGTGTTTTTCTCAGAATCTTCCAAAGTCTGCAAGAGTGATGTTTTTAATTGAAGAACAAAAAAATTGAAACTGTAAACAAAATAAGAGAGTAATTGGGTGTTGAGTTATTGGGTGTAGATGATTTTGGGATGTCTTATAATACATCCAAGGATTTTGTGGCTGTTGTTTGATCGAGTGTTTGAAAATTGTGTAGAGTGTGTCTTCTCATTGCAGTGAAACCAGCACCCTCTGCCCGCATCATAGCTCATCCTCGCCCAGCCTGTGGTAGCTGCTGCGCTGCCTGGCGCATACAGAGTCGGGTGGGGGCTTTGAGTTAACTGACTGTAATGGTCTCTGGGGTCTCCCGTTTGTATGACAGGTCTAAAAGACAAGTCCTTTTGAATGTAGACTCTCCTTGGCCCCTCCTATCCAGCCAGCCATGGAGAAGGCTCCCTCTTTCTGCCATTTGGAACCCATGATTCCTTCTCCCTGGCACTGAAGCTAGGCAGTATGGGTAAGCCTTGGAAAATCATTTTTACTTATAGTAAGGTCTAAGAAAACAAAAAAATGCATCTTGTCATATATACCTCAGCAGGCTCTGTTACTTTAAGAGGGAATACAGTTGCTTCCTCCCCTTCTTTTCAGTCCCTGGAGATCTGGAACCATGTGCAGGGTGTGGACTGCACACAGGTGTTACATCTGAGGGAGCCCCATTTGCATCGTGAACATCATAGGGTTTCATATCTACTATAACAGTTCTTTGGAAGTTGGCAGTGAAGAGAATTTGTTTAACAAAATTAATATATTAGGACACTTTTCCAGTTGAAGGAAGGAAAGCAACTTGAAGATCAGGTGTCATTTTACAATTGCCTGGTGGCATTGTCTGAGCCCAGGGTTGAGTTCAAGCATTTTTCTAACTGCTTACTCCAAGGAGAGCTTTCTGATGAGACCATCCTGTGAAAGTAGGCAAACTGAGCTGCATGAGCGGTGTTGAGATGAATAGTGCACAAACAGCTCTGTGGTTATTCCCCGTCTCTTTGTGGTAAGACCCCATTTGGTGCTGTCCTATCACTTTAGTAAGGGTGGAGACTAATCAACTTAAAAAAAAAAAAAGGCAGAGAGAAAGATCTTGCATCTGCTGGTTCATGCCACAATGGCCAGGAGCCAGGAACTCCATCCAGGTCTCCCACATGGATGGCAAGGGCCCAAGCACTTGGGCCATCTGCTGCTGCTGTCCCAGGCCATTAGCAGGGAGCTGGATAGAAAGTGGAGAAGCCACAAGATGCCAGCATTGCAGGGGTTGGCGTAGCCTGCTGCACCACAATGGCAGCCCCTGAACGCCTTTGCCTGGCCTACACTGCCCTCTGTGACTGTCCCCTGCCTACTTCCCGGACCTGCCAGAGGCTCACCATCGATCTGCACACCTGCCGCAGTGCCTCTTCTGTAGCCCCCAGTGACGGTGCCTGTGCCTTCCCTGGCATCCTGGCAAATACTGGTCTGTCTCTGTGGAGTCTTCTATCCCCAGCTGATTCCTAGCCACATTTTGGATCCTGTAGTATTACTTCCTCAGAAGAGCTTTTCCTGAATCCCCTGTCTTTTGTAAATCTCCCCGTTCTCATGCCATGACCATGCAATGCTCCTGAGAACAATTTGTCATGTTTAGATTTGTTGGGTGATTACTGGATCCGGGTGTGTTTCTTCCTTCAGTTGTAAACTCCATAAGGTGAGAGGGTGTGATGACTGGTTTGGGTTCCCACTGGAGCCCTGGAATTTAGCCAGCACATCTAGTGTTGAGTGATAAATAACTGAATCCCTTAAGAAACAAACAACAGAGAAGCATTCGTGGACTACCTGCTGTTTTCTAGGCTCTGTGATGGGCCCAGGAAGTGATGAAAAATGACAAAATCTCCCTCGCTTGATCCACCATAAATTTCTCTTGGTTCTTCGCCTGGTCCACAGCTGATGGGACAGCCGTCCAAGGCCATTGGTCTACAGGCTGCCCCTGGAACAAGCCTTGGACAGGCCCCAGCACCGGGAATGTCTTGTCCCTCTGCTGTCTGCCATGCTTCAAGGCCAGGACCTGGGCCCGTGTTCTGTGAGTTCCCAGCCCCAGGACCCTCCGTTCTCTGTGCTGGTGCAGCAGTTCCGTTCCTCTCCCTCTCACCTGTGATACAAGAAGAGCACCCGGCTAAAGACAGGGCCCCACAAGGTGCAAGAAGCATGGGCACAGTACAGGAAATTCTCCAGGCTTCACTGTCTGCTGTGCCACTGTGCCTTATAAAGGTGCGAAACTCCTGGGGAAAAAGAACATTTTTAGTTAATATGTTCACAATCCAAGACTGTTACAATTGTTAAGAAACTAAAGCACCCCTTAATTGGAAGGATCCTGGTACCATTTTTTTTGTTGTTGTTGTTGAAAGGCAGAGTTACAGAGAGAGGAGAAGGAAGAGAGAGAGGGGGGTCTTCTATATGCTAATTTATTCCCCAAATGGCTGCAACAGCTAGAGCTGGCCTGTCTGAAGCCAGGAGTCTGGAGCTTCTTCCGGGTCTCCCACGTGGGTGCAGGGGCCCAAGTACTTGGATCATCCTCCGCTGCTTTCCCAGGTGCATTAGCAGGGAGCTTGATCGGAAGTGGAGCAGCCGGGTCTCGAACTGGCACCCACGAGGGATGCTGGAGTCACAAGAGGAGGCTTAACCTGCTGTGCCAAAGCGCCAGCCCCCCTGCTACCATTTTAATCAACTAAGTTACAAAACCTCTTGTTTCGCAGATGACAGTGGTTAAACTCGCTGCCAGTTTCCACTCTGAGACTGGCTGTCCTTGCACCTGTAAGTTGTGGTGCGCGCTGAGGCTGAGCAAATGTAGTGCAAACGGCCGCGCATCTGCCCTGAGCACCCTTACAGCTGCACCACACAGCAAGAAGATTTCTTTTCAAAAAAGCTCCATCCAGGCTTAGAATAAAACCATATGGCGAGTATCAAGTTAGGGGAGTAGAGGCAAGAGAAAGAGAGGGAGACCTCCAGCCATTTGCGTAATTGCTGTCCGTGTCTCTGGGGTCTGGCTTGGGTGCGGGGGCTCGTTCTCCACCACCCACCCCATGCAAGATCAAGATCAAAGAGTGTCAATTGTGCTCAGAAATGTCCCCGTCTAGCCCCTCCTCCACGCTCCCCGTGGCCCTGGCCCGCTGGCTGGGCCGTCCTCCCTCGAGTCCGTCTGCCTCACTTGTCTTCTGCTGAGCGTTGACAGCATATTAGGTGAGAGTCTGGCCATGTCACGTAACTGCTGAGGATAATTCAATGGCTTTCAAATCACTCTGCAGTTAAAATCCGATTTCCTGTGAGCCCCAGCCTGGCCGTGCTGCCTTTTCGCCTGTGCAGGTGGGGCATCCCTAATTCACAAATCCAAAATCTGAGATGCCCCTGAACCCAAAACTGTTTGAGGTGCTGGTGTGATCCCACAAGTGGAAAATTCCACACCATGGAAACATTGTTTCATGCACAAAATGATTGAGTGTGAGCAATAGAGGAAACCTAAGTGAATTTGCTGTTTAGATAGGGGGCCCATTCCGCAAGCTGTTCCACTGTAGATATGCAGAGGTTCCAAAATCCAGAGGGACCCTTCCAGGCTGGTGGACATGGTGAGAACCATCGTTCCCCACCACCTGCTGAGCTCCCCACTCGAGGGAGCACTCCTGGGGAGGTGGTCGAGATGGCTTTGCTTTGAGGGGCGCACACGTGCCCTCCTCTCTGGTTTTCTCAGCACTACCTGTTCTTGAAGACCAGAAGTGCTTATTTGCCTATGAAGCCTCTCTCTGCCTGGAGCCCCTCTCCCTGTCATCCTGTCCCTCCAGCACAGAGCATCTGCCGCTCTCTCTCTAGTTGCAGCTGCTCGGCTCTCTGAGGAAGGAAGGGACAGGCAAGACGGGAGTTTCTGGGCTTTGGACGTCAGGTGCCCCTTTCTGGGCTGCGTGTCTGCAGTTCCTGCTCAGGAAGCTATCTGTAGGGCAGTGGTGCTCAGCATGGGCCCTGGCCCAGCTCAGTGAGCGTCCGCTGGGAGCCGTTAGGAATACAGACGCTGGGTCCCACCAGCCCGGCTGAATGAGAACATCTGGGTTGGCATCCAGCAGTCTGTGGTGATCAGCCTTCCTGGTGACTTGGACTCGGGCTAAGGTTTGAGAAACCCTGCTGTGGAGCCCACCAATAAGATGAGCAGCATCTCACATGTGGCTCTTAAAATGAGTCTTTTCTCAAGTGCAGACAATTAGAGTTCACTTGAAGAAAAAAAAAAGTAAGGTATTTCAGGAGCAAAAGAGATCCGTGTTCTGACCCCCCGAGAGTGTGGCTGTGTTTGAAATGAAAAGAAAAGGAAGAGGTAGCCGGCATCGCGGCTCACTAGGCTAATCCTCCGCCTTGCGGCGCCGGCACACCGGGTTCTAGTCCTGGTCGGATTCTTTCCCGGTTGCCCCTCTTCCAGGCCAGCTCTCTGCTGTGGCCCAGGAATGCAGTGGAGGATGGCCCAAGTGCTTGGGCCCTGCACCCTATGGGAGACCAGGAGAAGCACCTGGCTCCTGCCTTCGGATCAGCGCGGTGCACCAGCTGCAGTGCGCGGGCCGCGGCGGCCATTGGAGGGTGAACCAACGGCAAAGGAAGACCTTTCTCTCTGTCTCTCTCACTATCCACTCTGCCTGTCAAAAAAATAAAATAAAACAAAAAAAAAAAGAAAAGGAAGAGGTGAGTGTAACAGGGCGTGAGATGCGTGGTGGCTCTTGAGTGATTGGGAGCCTGTCTTCCTTTTTATATTTTTAACCAAACTACACAAGCCCAAAAATGGAAGTCAGAGCTGTCTTTGCCAAAGCTGTGATTGTGCGAGCTCGGCTAGGCAGAGTTAGCTG